GAGCTATTTTGCTGTCTGTTAACTGCTTCTGGTCTCTCTCCTCCTGTTTCACTGCCTAAGCAGGAAAGGAGACTATTGCAGCAGAAGATAAGACTGTCCTTGCTCTGTGCAGCCATAACCCTGGAAAACCATTTTTTCCCCTTCATTCTACCTTTGAAAAAGCAAGGTAGATATACATTTTGCAGCCTGTTATATGCGAGAATATATGATAAAAGTTCAACTATACAAGTTCATATGCTGAAAAACCTGGAAACAATAAGTTAAAATTCTAGGCTACTTCTTGTAATGAAAAGGTAGTATTATGAGACACTTTAAAAAATCCTGGCAATTATTCCCCATCCAAATTAATTTTAGAACACATGATTTAAACAGAAAGCCTACAGTGATCTTAACATGGAGTCACTCTTACTCCATAATAATAATCTACAATATTATTATATTAAGGTTAACATTTTGATATATTCCAGGGATAGAAAATTCACAGTTGAGGGAAAAATGTGAGAGACTTTCTTTTTTTCTCTCTCTTTTTTAATTTTGACTTTTAAAATCTTTATTATACAAAAAAAATAATAAAAAATATATACAAAAACAAGTGGTAAAAGTACAAAGGGACGTGGCACTCCCAGAGGCTGAGCAACAAACACCCACAGTGACAAAAAACATGATGTTGCCAGAGACTAAAATCCTCTCCCTCTGTGCCCCTCATGGGATTACACATGTAGGACCAGCTGTCTGTCTTCTATCTTGCCGAGGGCCCCCTGAATGGCCAAGCACAAGACAAACTAGTGCACATTTTATTGCAAGGTGAAGTGTCCAAATTCAACGTGACACTTTCCCGAACAAGGAAGTAGAAGAATAGGAGGGTATCAGAGCTTGCTACTGAAGCCTTTCAGAGAAGAAAGAGCAAGAGAAAATGCATGTCACTCATTCTAGTGGTCATCAACATTACTGATTCTTGCATTCAGAGGATGCTTAGATTCAGGACTTTTCGTTTCATTTTACAATTCACCTACCAGAACATTTTGGGCCACTTATACAGGTATTTGCTGATTGCAAGGCTATGCTCATTTTTGACTGAAGCTTATAAATAGCTTAAACATATTTGGAAAACTATTTAAATTCAACTTTCAAGATATTTACTGAAGCCTCAATCTTGCTGCACTGAGAAACCTAAACAAACACATTTATCATTCACATTTTAAGATGAAGGATGACACAGCAGAAGAAAACTGCTCTTGTCTTTCTCCCTCTCAGCCCCATCTCACAAATCTCTCTCAAATGAGGCATCTCCCATTCCACTGTTACAAGTCTTAAAACTGGTAAATCCTCCCACCCCCTTCTAGGGAAACAAGATGCAGGGTCACCTTTTCTATTTTCACTTAAACTGTGCAGTTAGTTCTACAATACAAAGTTGCTTTAGGCTTAGTACCAAAAGTCTGGGTACTTAAATCTGCCTCGAAATAAATGGGAACAAAATAAGATCCACGCTGAATACTTCTTAAAATCCTTTTCTTAAAAACAGAAGAAAACAGAGCAACAGTGATTGTTAAACCATAAAGTATAGCAAACACATTCAGGGATAGGTGTGGATTAAAAAGTATTTCTTTAAAAATGGCTAGTTTCCAATGTGTTGTCCTAAAATCTCTGCCTGTTTTTCATTTAAAATTGTATTAGTGTGCGGACAGAAAAAAATCTTTGTATGAACATTATGCCAAGGTAAAAAGCAGCAGACAGATGCTATAAACCTTTGTCACGGGGGTAACTTTTCCCAGCCCAGTGGAGAACTCTCTCTTAAAAATCCCTGGGTAATACTCTACTGGTATCAGTTATGCCAATTTAAGCTTGGCCTGTCCACTTCTATCCCAGGGTAATCTTTTGCTAAATTCAAACAAACTGTTGCTTGCTCTCCCACTAGCAAATGGCAAGGAGCTGTAATAGCTTCTTACAATCTCAGAAGAGCTGCACATCTCTCCAATCCTGATTCCCAGCATAAGCTACACCATTGTATAAACCTGCTGTTATTACTTTGTGGAACTTGAATGTCCCTTAATACAGTTTTATATAATAACCATTTGTGAAAATAAAGCAATGAAGTTCAATTGCTGAATAACTTCATACAGCATCAAAGTCTTTTCTTGTCTTGGCTCCACCCTGTTTATTTATTCACATAGGACCAGACTAGCAACACGAGACTATGTAAACTAGGAATTATTGTTACTTGGATTTTTTTTTATTAGAACGTTAGATTGCAACAAAAGCATTCCATAATGCTCACTGCTGAAAGATAAGGTCAGGGTAATGAAGCAGGCAGAAACTAGGAAAGCTGTCTTTTTTGCAACATACTTAGGCAATCTGTACCAAGAGGAATTCTGAGACACCTCTTACTGCTACATCTTTGCCAGTTTTATAGAAATCTAGTTAATGAAATAGCATTTTATCTCATTGAAGACTACATTGCCATGCCAAGCACAGTGGCCCAAACATAATAACATGTAAAAAAAAAAAAAACTGAAGTAAAAAAAATCGCTTGTGAAGATTTGTTTTCCTTGGGCTAGGAACAAATGTGAATAATATCAAACTAAAAAGGCATTGTCCCCAATAAAATTGTATGAAAAAGGCTGAAAATAAATCAGGATATTGCAGTATTGCCAACCCCACCATGTCAAAAAAATCAAGAAACCGACTCTTAAAACAAAAATCAATAAATTTAGTATGTAAATCATGAGATGATATTTTTTAAGTATAAACCAATACAAATATACTGACTGTTGGTTTATAAATCCCATTAGTCACTTATTTAACTTCTAACAGGTCAGAGATTCATACAAAAACTATATTACTACAACTGATAATGCTTTAGTAAAAAAAAATAAATAAATAAATTTGCATCTGTTGTTATGACTGGAATGACATCTGCTAGACTTTTGTGCATTTAGCACTTTCCAGAAAGACACACAAGACAGCGCCCAGCAGGTAAGTGGGGAAAGGAAGGGGCAAGGGGAAAGGGAAGTGGGGGGGGAGGGCAGATCGAGGCCCCCACGGTGAGGGAAGGAGCGGGGAAGGGGCAGGGACAGGTTGTGTGACAGTGCTAAAGGTGGCTTGTCCAGAGGTGGGGAGGAAGGGTGCAGCTCCCCACCACTCTGCACACTTGAAGGAGAGGCATGGGGGGCATGTGTCCCCAGATGTCTGCGTGGGGCATAGGTGGGCTCAACATCATGCAGCTCCCAGGGCAAAGGCAGAAGGTAGCCCACCCCTGCCCCATGCACAAATCTGGGGGCCGTATGTCCCCCATTTCTCTGATGGGGGTATGTGTAGTGCAGGGGAGCCATGCACCCCCTCCCCCCAACTTGTGCCTCTGGATGAGCCACCCTCAGCTGTCACATGACTGGCCTTGCCCCGGGTCCCCATTCACCCCAGCCCATCCCACACCCTCCCTCACCATGGGGGCCTCCATTCCCCTCCCCCCCCCTCCTTCCCCTCCACAGACTTACCTGCTGGGTGCTGTTCTACATGCACCAGAAGAAAAAAAATCTAGAGATCTGAGAGTTCTATTGTGAGATCATGAGTCAGACTTTACTTAGAAATCATAGCTCCCGTGATCATTTTGCGTGGTTGGCATTATTGATATTAGATATAGCTCTGGTGATATATCAGTGTTCTAGGCCAGAGGTCAGAAACCTACAACACACAGGCTGAATCTGGCCTGTGGAGCTAGGGCTTCAGCAGTGTTTGGCAGTAGGGGGGCTTCACCTGTGCTACGCTATGCTGTACTGCACCATATCATGACCAAGTGGCTGGGAGCTTTCCTGGACTATGTTTTAACTGGGCAGCAGCCAGACCCTAACACCAAACACCTTTAGCCTTACTTCTCTATGACTATGATATTATAAAACCTTGCGTGACAGATAACCTTCTCTATGCCTATGACATCTCAAACCTGAGCTGGACCATTACAGCCTGCTGCTGGGAAACATTGCTGATTACTGTTCTAACCTATATATTAGAAGTTGTTATTCTTTTCTCAAAAATAATGAATTTTGTGCCAGATTTTCAAAGCACTCAACACCAAAGCTGGGTTTAGATTAATCTAAATGTACATCAAGCATTTTGGTATCTGAATGAAGTGATCGCTGCCTTGCAGCTTCTTTTGAGAACAGTGGGGGTGCTGTTAACACTTAAGAAGAACTGGCATTTGTGCTTTAACTGATTTGTATGCAAAGAAGTTTCTATTAATAAAGTGTTTTTTAATACATGAGATGAGAACATTACATTATAATTCAGACAACCACGTGAAAGTTCAGCTCTGCTTTAGGAAGGCAAATATAATTTCTAAATACATATAAGCAATGCATTTTCTCCCAGGGTTGGGGAAAAAGACCTTGTAAATCCAGGGGATATTACAAGAAAGGCAAATGCTAATCGCTCACATTGTTCAGATATTCACACCTGGCAATAACTCATGGGCCTATTATTTCCAAGAAAATGTTAAATAAACAAAGCAACATTACAAAGTATTCAATAACCAAATATAAAAAAAATAAAAAACAGTAAGTTTCTGAAAAGCCTTTTGTGATCTGACGAGAATAATCTTTATAATCTGTTGTTTAATGCAACAAGAGCATACAATGATAAACATCACAATATACCAGCCTTCTAATACAATTAAAAAAAAAAAAAAATCAACTAGCTGTGCATTTTGTTCCAATAAATGTTTGAAAGCAAAATAAAGAACTATATTCATGCAGCTTCATTTAAAACAGTATGCATTTACACAGCCCCACAGTTCAAAAAAATATTACTTCTGCACCTGAAAGTAGGGAAAATTACTTTCAGCCTGAAATGACTTTTCCAACTTGAGAATATAGCCACGGTTACAAACTTGATTTTTCATGATTCATTTACCACTTTCAGAACCTCAAATGGCCTCTTCAGCTTTGTTTCTCCATTTGTTTCAGCCTACAGATCTGTGGCAGTGAAACCACTAAGAGGATTCCGTAACAATGGCAACCTTCAACACTAGTCACTGGAATGAAACTACATACATCTATGAATGTCTTGGTTTCCAAGTGCAAAAGATTTATCCTTTCCATGATAACTGGAACACTGCCTGCTTTGTTATTCTGATTATATTTATTTTTACTGTAGTTTCGTTGGTGGCTTTGGCTTTTCTCTATGAGCTGCTTGATTGCTGCTGCTGCGTGAAAAATAAAACCATGAAAGACCTGGAGAATGAACCCAACCCCGTTAGAACCATGATGGACAGATTTAGAAAGCGTGAAACAGAAGTAGTGTAAGAAATACTGATAATCACTCACAGAAGAACAAACATTTAAAACACTTTAAACAAAATCTGTTACATTATATGACTAAGCAAGTCACCTAAGTTTTTGGCCTTAAAAATCTTTACAAACAATACTATTTCTCCACTGGACATGAAACTGAATGGTTAGCAAATGGATGGTCTCTACTGCAATATCGTGTGAGAAGAAAGATTTCTGTTTTCAAATGAACTTTTGTTGTCTATATTTGATGACTAGAGTAAATTTTTGTCCATCTGAACAATTTATAATGTTGTTTAATTGGAAAAATATTTATCACCTTCTCTTGGGCCACCTCATGCCTCTTAGTCTTTAGACATATCCCATGCATCTGAGAATAAAACAAACCAAAAAACCCAAGAATAACAAAAAACAAAACAAAATCCACATTTTATTTCATAACATGCCTCATCTGAATATAGTTTTCAAATCCATAACATAAAAACCAAAGAAAACTTTATCATTCTACAAACTTAGAATCTCTCTGACCATTTTCTGGTAGGACATGACAGTTTCTACCCACTGCCCAGAGAGGAGTCCCATGCTATTTCTTCCCAAATTTAACAACTCAAAGTATTTGAGTTCATTAATACACCAGGATGAAATTATCTCAGTATTTCTGCTAGGAGTATGTAATCAGGAATGAAGTTGGAAGGAAACACAAATATCATTTTGTCCTCCATAGCATAGGTTGCCTTACTTTTCTGTCCTCAAACTCAGAATACTGCAAGTCATCTTGACCTCCAACCCCAAAAGCACTCCTCACTTGTTCAGACTGCAGCTTTCTGTGTTACACAGGCTAGAGACAGACATTCAAAAAGCCTGAGCCTGAATTGATTCAATCTTTGCAGGCTAGTTTAACCTGCAAAGCTTGAACTGATTTGGAGGTGGATAAAGCCGCCCTCTCTTCCCTTCCACAATGGTGAGCTGAGGACAGGACACTGATTAGAGAGGGGTCTAAACCCCAACCCTGCCTGCACTGTCTCAGGCTTTTCCCTGCTGGCTGCTCAAGTGGGGGAGAAGTGTTGCCAGACCCTGCATCTGTTGATACTGAGCTTTTCAATCTCCATCTCCCTGTTTCTTCAGACTGTCTGAAAACCAGGTCATTTCTAACACCTTTCTCTGTTCCCTCTTGGAGACTGACAGATTGCAGCCAGCAGGTTGTTTGCCAGAACAAAGTTGATCTGCCAATCAAGCCCTTCAAAAGGAAACATCTTGCTCATTAGTTTCAAGCTCTTCTCATTTGCAGGGTGCATTTGCACTTGCAAGCCACTAGCTGTCTACCCTTTGTTCCAGTGAAATTGGATGCCCACACAGACACCTCTCAGCATTAGCTAGGATGGGGGTGGAGGCATGGCCAGATGCTAGGTCCCTGTGCTGGGGTTCCTGCCAGGGGAGAGGGGCAGGAGGGGGGATCCCTGCTTGAGCAGCCAGTGGGGAGGGGTTGTGGAGCAGTGGGAAGCCTGGCAGCCCCTGCAGTCCCTCAGCCAGCCAGAGCAGCAATAGTGCTCTGGCTAGGAAGGAGAAGCGCTGGGCCAACCCTGCTCTGCTTCAGCAAACAGCCCCACCCAGGGTGCAAAGCATCTGGGATGCTGAGTGACTGTGGTTTAAATTAAACTAGGAAGGGATCTGGGACAGACATTGCATAAACTGGTTTGACCCAACTCAGTGAAGTCTGAGACTACATTCAACCAGGTTTATCTTAAACTGGTTTCAGCCTTTTCAAACAGGTTTATGTGCACTAAATGTCTGTTCTGTTACAGGTTTAAATCAGCTTCTGATCACTTAAACTGGTTTGTGTGTAATGTCTGTCTCTAGCCTTAATCATTTTTCCTGACTGCTGAAGTTAGATCAGATCTTCACAATGGATTGTACCTTGTTGCTCTCACAGCTGATCAGAGTTAGTACAGATTTAACTCATATGCCAATTTTCCCTTGCCATGAAATATAAAAGGATATATCCTAGGCCTTGTTACACTGTTAACTTGACCTCTTCTCATAGTTTTTCATCAGTAGATCTCAACATAATTTAAAAAGAAAGCAACGCTTATTACCTATCTTTTACAGATGGTGAAACTGAGGCATAGTGAAGGGAAGTGACTATAATAATTCTATAGAACAGCTGAGAAGATCTCAAAAGAAAAAAAATCATCAACTCAAAAGGGAGACCAAAATTAAATCTGAATTCCATACACTTCGCTTCCCTAGGTGGGACGTGTCAACTAACCCAACATTTTAAGGTTTTTGCTGGTTACTTATAGGAGTCAGGAAATATCCCCCTGAGCTTTCCTCCCCAATATGTTATTTGCCTTCTGAGGAGGGTTTTTGGCCTACTTTTAAAAAATTGGAAATTGGCTGATGGGACTGAGAAACTTCTCAAAGTGTCTGACTAGTAAGTGTGGCTCATGCACTCCCAGGATCAAAACAATCCCCAGATTTGGGGCCAGGAATGATTTTTTCCTCAAGCCAGACTGGCAAGGGTCATTAGCAGGGATCCGGGTTTGCCGTTTCCCACAGCGGGTGCAACCCAACACAGCTGGAGACAGTGGGGCCACGCAGGTAGGTAATGATAGTTGCTTTCTTTTTAAAGTATGTTGAGATCTACTGATGAAAAACTGTATGAGAAGAGGTCAAGTTAATATCACTGTGACAAGGCCTAGGTTATATCCTTTTATATTTCATGTCAAGGGAAAATTGGTATATGGGTTTAATCTGTACCAACTCTGATCAGCTGTGAGAGCAACAAGGTACAATCCACTGTGAAGTTCTGATCTAACTTCAGCAGCCAGGAAAATGATTAAGGACAGGGACAGACATTAAGGCTAGGGAGGCCCCAAGGCAGGGCAAGAGCCCGAGCCTGCAGCCTGTGTCTGCCCCAGGTACAGATCTGGAGGGCCTGGGTCCCCCCTGCCCCCTGGGAGAGCACGCAATAGCAGGGAGCCACCCCACCCAAGATTGCAGCAGGGGGGAGTGGGGGCAAGGGGCTGTGGACCCAGGTCCATAGCCCTGGCAGCTGGGGGCCCCCTCCAGCAGGGCTGGGGAAGCAGAGGCTGGGGGGGGCACTAGCAAGGCTGTGGAAACTGTGGTCGGGGAATGAGGGGCACCAGCAGGGCCGGGGTAGGGGGGGAGGCCTTTAATTTTAAATGGATTTGGGGGTTTTTTTAGCAGAGAATTTGCTATTTTTTTTTAATCAGGGAAAACCAGGATCCCTGGTCATTAGACTTTCTTGGCCTTCCTCTAGCTCAGTGCATGGTACACTTTGAAGAAACATCAAGCAGTAGAGAGGCAGTTAGTTAGCCTTGCTAGTCTGAAGTCAGGCACAGTAGGGTGGCCCCTTAATGTAACCCTTTCAGAGAGGCGTAAGCTTTCATAGGCAACAGCCTACATCATCAGATGCTATGAATGGACTGTGCTATATTGTAGGTGGGTTTTTTTTGGTGCTTTGGGGCTGTAATACACAAAAAAGGCCACAGTGGATGTTTCTGTAGGCTCTTTTTGACAACTGGTTGCCTGTGAACAAAGACAGCTGGATTCAATGGCTGGCAGATGCCTTTCACTCCCCTGTTCCTAAAAATAAATTTAAGACTATTCTTACATATATGTTCATAGATTGTAAGGCTGGAAGGGACCTCGGAAGATTATTAGGTCCAGCCCACTACACCAAGCAGGAAAGACAACTTGGGTCATGTGACCCCAGCAAGGTGACCGTCAGTCTCCTCTTGAAGATTTCCAGGGTAGGCGACTGCACCACCTCTGGAAGGAGCTTATTCCATAGTCCAGACTCCCTAGTTGTGAAGTAGTTTTTCCTAATGTTGAGCCTGAAATGGTCTTCCCAGAGTTTGTGACCATTACTTCTAGCTTTCCTCAAGGGTGCCCTGGTGAACAGTTGTTCACTGAACCCTTGATGTATGCCACTGATGTAACAGTAAGCTGCTACCTATCAGCCTTTTTTTCAGGCTGAAGAGTCCCAGATCCCTGAGCCTTTCCTTGTATGGCTTGCCACGCAAGTCTCTGATCACATGGGTGGCCCTTCTCTGGACTCTCAAGCTTTACTATGTCCTTGTTGAAGTGTGGTGCCCAGAACTGGACACAGTACTCCAGCTACAGTGTCACCAATGCCGAGTAGAGTGGGAGAATCACTTCTTTGGTTTTGTTGGAGATGCATCAATTGATGCATGCCAGGGTATTTTTAGCCTTGCTGGCTACAATGTCGCACTGCCGGCTCATGTTCATACTGTGGTCTATTATTAGCCCCAGGTCCCTTTCATTCGTAGTTCTGATCAAGTCGGCATTGCCAGTCCTATAGGTGTGCAGGGGATTGTTCATTCCCAGGTGGAGTACTTTACATTTCTTGACATTGAACCTGACTGTTTTGCCCAGTCTTCCAATTTTCTTACGAGAACATCGTGGAAGGCCAGATCGAAAGCTTTTTGGAAGTTGAGGTATATAATGTCAACTTCCTCTTTTTTATCCAGGTGCCAAGTCACCTGATCGTAAAAGGAGATGAAGTTGGTAAGACAAGACGTGTCTGCAATGAAGCCATGCTGGCTGTCGTTCAGAATCCTACCTTCTGCAAGTTTATCACACACACACTGCTTAATGAATTTTTCCAGGATTTTCCATGGGATAGAAATAAGGCTAACTGACCTATAATTACCGAAGTCCTCCCTCTTCCCTTTGTTGAAGATGGGCACAACACTGGCGTTCTTCCAGTCCTCGGGGACCTCTCTGGAGCACCATGGGTTTTGGAAAAGATTCATTAGGGGTTCTGTGAGGACTTCGGCCAGTTCCTTCAGCACTCTCGGGTGAAGTTCATCCAGTCCTGCTGACTTATATACGTCCAGTTTCTTTAACTGATCACACATCAGTTCTACAGCAATAATAGGAAGGTGGTCATTTGAACCCTGCTCATTCTGTACCCTAGCTGACATGATTTTCCTCTTGGCTTGGTGAAAGACCGAAGCAAAGTACAGCCA